TGCTTTCCTATGTGATCAGCTGAATGCGCGCGCAGCTCTTGCCGCGCGTGCGCATTCAGCCGACGGGGAGGAGAAGAGGAGGATTGGAGGAGGAGAGCTCCCCGCCCAGCGCTGGAAAAAGGTATGTTTAAACCCCTTTTCCCCTTCCAGAGCCGGGCGGGAGGGGGTCCCTGAGGGTGGGGGCACCCTCAGGGCACTATAGTGCCAGGAAAACGAGTATGTTTTCCTGGCACTATAGTGGTCCTTTAATTAGTCTTACTCTCACTTTAACATGTGCCTTTTATCCTGAGAAAAGGATATCAAAAATGAAATAAATGGTGGAAATCAGAAACACGTCAAGTGGTTTGAAAAAAATGAATACATCTCTAAAATGATAAATATTCCAGGTTTTGGGACAGAACTTGCGAGGCAGAACTAGATGTCGTTCAATATACCAAAGTGGATTTCTTTATCCTAGAACTGAAACCCAAAAACTAGAAATTCCAGAAACTATCTAACAAGTTCTCATTCATGGTTACTGGATTACAGATATTTTTTTTTTAAATCTGACCACAATTTACAACAGCAGAAGAGGGCACGAGGCCTATAACCCTTTGCCGCATCAGGATGGAAACCATTAAGGAAAAAAAAATAACCATTTTTTTTTTATTATTGATTCATCCACTGGAAAAACAGTTTTGTTATTGCAGCTAATGGATGAGACATTTGTTCATTTTAAACCATTAACACTTAACATCAAATCTTAATTAGAATACGCACCAACACGGATGAGTAATGCAGACCCAGAGTTGGAGGAAATTAGAAGTACGTGTGTATAATGCACAACTATAATGTCACACTCCTGGAGACGTAACTTGTCTACCAGGTAAGGAAAATGTATCCCTGGTTCTCGACCAGCTTTCGGTTGCACGGCAACATCTGAAAGCTTATCCTTCCTGCTTTAACCATAGCGGGATGTTGTTCTCAATCAGTGGTTATTTGTACTCCGTTACTATGAAAGTGAGATATTTTCTAAGTTACCTAAGGAGCTCATTTATAAATGGACAAACTATATTGTGTTTTCACTCACATTTCCTTTCCTGTGATGGTGTGAGAAGTTAGGATTTTTGTACTCTAAATTTCACAGTTTTTGCACTGAAAAAAAATCCAGCTCACCTGTTTTGGCGTAGATACTGTAATTTATTTGTCAGTGCATCACAAGTCACTGTTTAGTGGATAAACCCTTTAATCAGTCTAATTGAGCAGATAAATGCTAGTGAAGATGAATGAGCAATTTGCGAATGCACCTGTGCTCTGCAAGGGCTTCTTATCAAACAAGATGAATGTGGGCTTCCCTCAGGTACTTTGTATTATTGAGTTTATATGGAGATTATCCTCTAAACTGAGAACTGCAACAAAACGACAAAGAAAAAAAAAAGAGGGTAAATGTAGGATCAAATTTAAGTATTATCCCATTCAGCTATTTTTCTGATTCAGTTATTTTTGTCTAAAAATTTCAGTTCCCTTGAAATTCTCCAAATTCCCCTATTTAGTAAATAATGTTGATAGTGTTTTTAAATCAATTGACAGGCACACGTGAGTTAAGCTGTTATATATATGTAGATATAGATATAGATATATTCCAAAGGGTCCTTGCACTCATGAGCTTTCAAAATATAGTGGCCGGGTGCTTGTAATCAAGGAGAAGCAATACACATAGTATGGAGAGATGACCAGCACTCACAGACTTCTGGAGTTAAAAGTTGTAGTCTTTATTGAAGAATCATTTAAAATAGGACTGACGTCTCAGTCCACGCTCAGGACTTTCATCAGGATCAGGTATAGTATATACTAAAAACAAAAGCACATTTATAGGAGGAGAATCAAAGATAATTAATATAAATATTATTTTCTTAGCTCTGCCTGATTATAAACGGTGGGCACCCTCATTAGATTGTCAGCTCTTGGCATCACAGTATGTACAGCCAGCAGCTGTCACTCGCTCCATGCGATCGGTCCCGGGCTACGTGTGTGTGAACTTGCCACGCTCCGAAACAGCAAGGTGACATGTGTCAGCCTACCCTCGCTGACAGCTGTCACTCTCTGCTACATTTGTCCTTGTTTTACATGCCATCTGTCCCCAAGCCTACTGTGCTATAGTGAGGAGGGAGGGGGAGGGCAGTTGTCTGGTTATGGATGTGGGGTGCTTTATTATTCATTGACTGTGAAATGAGACAATATGATAGACTTGCCTTTTACCAGCGAATGTGCCCTCTGTCGAGCATGGTGCTCTATTGTCCTACCTCCTCTGGGGACAGGATTGTTCCAAACTTAATATATAGTGAGATTTTAACCCTCCATGGGCATGGAATCTTTGGAACGAAGGGCATCACTTGTAAAGAGCAATCTTTTGGACAAAGTTCTACGGATAGATCGATCAGCATGAGTATTTAATTGGTTTCCATGGAGAATGTTTCAGTTATGGAGGAACCATGCGTTGGTTACCATAATGATCGTTTCAACTGTAGAGCAAAAAAACAAAACTTAACCTTGGTGTCCACGGTGATTGCTCCACTTTAAGAACTTTCCCCCAAAACGATTCTTTGTGTATAACCCTCACTGTGCAATTTCTAAACAATTACTACAACTTCCCCAGCAAAACTGTAGTGCTTTGCATTTCACAGCCGATTAAACACCACACTTTCCAAACTTAGGTTAACTAAATAAACCCTCATAAAGTATTCTCTGGACAAGGCTAGTTTAGGCAGAATTTCACCGTTTGTATTTTAACTAGCAACACTTCAGAATTGAGAGAATATCCCCATATGTTTATGGAACGTTAGCGTAATAGTAATAATATTTTAACACGTTACAATTTAAAAAGGGGTAATTGTAATTGATATCCATCCATACCAACACAATGTACCCCTTTGTACAAACGCACCTTACGTTCTATAGGAATAGTTGGCCAAACGGTCATGTTAAATTACATCTTCTCTGATGGACAGAGAAGCCCAAGGCAGGCAAAGCAAAATGTGATTTGAAGCTCTTGATCAGATTGGAATCTACTTTTTGGCCACTAATTTTCAAAGAGCTTGTCAATTCCCAGCTTTGTGTCTAAATTATTGTAAATCATGTATTTTTCTCATCTCTGCTTCAGAAACAGTTAAAAGAGAAGTAAGCTCTGCAGCTTAGCTGCCCCTTTTGCAGCAGATGTCCAGCCTATGTCTCCACTCTCTCCAACCCCCCCTCTATCCCAGGAATTATCCCTAGATGCACTTGTATGTTGTAGCCATCTGCAATATCTCATCCAACCCCCATCTCATTCACACTTAAAACCCTGCATTGCCAGAGGGTTTTTTGATAGTCTTTATGCCCTAAACATGCACAGGGAATTAACAAAACAACACTTTAAATCCTACATATAAATCTGACCCCTCCCATATAATTCATCTCAAGTGCTTTAACACTCAAACACCGGGGAGGGGGGCAACATTAATCAACAATAAACTGATTATTTTTGTAGTAACCGCAGTGAATGTTCATTTGATCATTTGATTCAAGTTTGCATAACTACAGACATCTGAAGGTAAAGATCCCAAATCTATTCTCCAGTACCAATAAATGTCAGGCAGTCAGACTAAAAATAAAATAAATATATGTATATGTATATTATATATAATAAACATAGTTGCTTGGCACTCTCCTTGAAAGGATAATAACAAAAATCTTGCCTGGGTGCTGATCCACTTGCGTCCAAAATATAAAGAAAAAGTAATCCAGGATGCACTCACAGGTCTTTAACCCCTTAAGGACACATGACATGTGTGACATGTCATGATTCCCTTTTATTCCAGAAGTTTGGTCCTTAAGGGATTAAACTTGTAAATGGTACTTTATTTGTGAGAAGTTACATACAGTAAATCGATCGACGTTTCGACCCTGCCGGGTCTTTTTTAAGATCTTGAAAAAGACCCAGCAGGGTCGAAACGTCGATCGATTTACTGTATGTAACTTCTCACAAATAAAGCACCATTTACAAGCTTAAAGACCTGTGAGTGCATCCTGGATTACTCTCTCTCTCTCTCTCTCTCTCTCTCTCTTTCTCTCTCTCGCTCTCTATTTGCTCAACTGGTCTTGAACAGGTTAAAAATTTAAATGACTGATGAAATGACCTGTGCATGAACATAAATGGGCAAAATTCTACCTCTGTCCATGGTATATATATCCCACACCTGCCTACCTGATTAAACAGGGGATATTCTATTACCAGTTTAATTTTAGAACATCATAGTGTTTGACTGAGTGCATTTGATAAAAAGAAAATTAGTAATTATACTCACTTTGAAAAATAAATTAAAAAAGGAGAGATTCATAGAAACCCTTTTGTTCGTTTAGCTCTCTACATCGATTTATCATTAAATTGTGTATTTAACAAAAAATTAATCCAAAATAGCCAAATTGGAAAAATTCTCCATGTCAGATTATATATATATTTATTTTGGCTATTTTAACCAAAAATTCACTTTGAATTCCTGACAATTCACATTTTTGGGAAAAACGCGTTGGTTGTTAAATCTGAGGAATTTGGCTTGCTGTAACACTATGTCACTGGTCACTTGCTGTAACACTATGTCACTGGTCATGTAGTCAGCTAGGTGTTAAGCAACAATTCTGCTTGCTCTTATTTGCTATATTTCTCTCATATCTCCCAATATTGGAAGTATGAAACCCAAATGGAGGACCAGCAAGTACAGAACACAATGGTGAGGTGAGGCTTGGAGATCATGACCATTTGGCAGGACAAAGTGCCACAATTGGGACTATTCCACTCAATATGGGATCATTGGTAGAGAAACCTATACAAAATGTGGTCATTACAAAATCAAATTAGCATTTTTTATTACACTAACTAAAAGCAAACACTGACAATATTAACTTACAGTAGCACGTTTCCCTAAAAGTACAAGTAGGACAAAGGAAGCATAGAGAGCAAATGCAAAATCAGCTTTGAATAATCACTCGCAAATGGCAGAATTATGGCACAAAACAAGGGCAAAACTTAAAGGCACACTATAGGCACCAAAACAACTTTAGCTTCATGGAGCAGTTTCAGTATATGGATAATGACCCTTCAGTCTCATTTCTCACTTCTCTGCCATTTAGGCGTTAAATCACTCTATTTATGGAACACTAGTCAAACCTCCCTGCATGTGACTCAGCACAGCCTTCCTAAACACTTCCTGTAAAGAGAGATCTAATGTTTAAACTTCCTTCATTTCAAATTCTGTTTAATTTAGAAGTTCTTATCTCCTGCTCTGTTAAAAGTCTTCTAGACCCTACAGGAGTCTTCTGTGTGTGATTAAAGTTAAATTTACAGAGCAGGAGATAAAAACTTAATATCTGATTGAGAGTGAAACCATTTTTTTTCATGCAGGCTGAGGAGATGTGTGGCTACGGCAGCATACACAGAAACTAAAGTAATTTAACACCTAAATGGCAGAGAATCAAAAAAATGTGATCTAAACACTAAAACTGCTTCATTAGGGTAAAGTTGTTTTGATGCCTATAGTACATGTAATTGTACATAAAATAGTTTAAGAAGACAAAACAAGTCACTTTTAGACTATTTTAAAAAATATTTCATAAAAGCAAACAGATAACAGACCAAAGATAAAATACACCTTTCAGATCAATTTGATAAATCTCCCCCAATGTCTTTCTACCATTAAGCTACTTTAGAGACCAAACTTTAAAGTCACAGCAGGCCTGGAATATAAAGTCTCGTTAAACATACATCTTCATTCAACTAGTGACAATCCACCAATGATATTCCCCGTTACTCTACTAGTCTTCTGGCAGTGAAGTGGTTACACAGCTTCTAAACGTTTGCTAGACTATTAATTGATGCAAGGTTCCAGCAAGGAATGAGTTAATTATTAACTCCTATGCGGCCAGGGCCCCTTCTGTTTTGGCCCTGTGCCATCTGTACCTCCTCCCCCTCTCACTTCTCGCAGCTAATCCCCAGCTTAATAACTCGGTTGCACTTTTAATGATGATAATGAACCGTCTGGGGTGTGAATACAGGGCTTCTCGCTGGGGGGGAAGTGGGGGGGTATCTGGACCGATATGACTGGAGGATGCTGTATGCTACCCAAATTTCTGATGATCTATCTTACCTCCCAGCTGCCAGTTCAATATTAGATAGAGCCTGTGCTCTGTTAAATGGCTGCAAAGACCTTACAGGGCTCAGTATTCTATAATTATATTGGCATCCCATATGTAGTGCTGTGTAATGATTTTAGCGGTTTTAATAAAAGTTTTGTATCAGTTTTCCATTAAAGAAATAGTAGCATCACTCGATGATGCCCCTTTTGTGTATAGCGTCAGTATCTACCCTTGGAGTGCAGCTATAATGAACTACAATTTCAATGATCCAGGTGGTTTAGCATCATAGGACACAGTTCACAGACATTAACAGCGCTAAGAGCTGATCTCTTCACACCTTAGTTAGTACTTACCCCATCTACTGTTTAGGAGCACAGTAAAGTGCCAGTAAAGATGTCACTGAGGCGGCCTAGAGACTAGGAAATGTATTTACTAAACCAGAAATTCTGGAGAATTGAAAAGGGGACTGCAAATGATACTCCAAAATGTAGAATTTTATCTTGTCAAACCACAACAATTTAATTTTCTGTCTTGTTTTTGTTTGTTGTTGTTGTACCTGTTTAAAAAAATAAATAAATCTCCTATTGCAAAGCTATGAAATGAACACAATAAAATAATCATTATGGATTATTCAGACCAAGCAGTTTATTCCAGGAATAAAAGGTACGACGCCATGTAAATCAGTACTGACAAGTATCACAGCATTCTCTCCTAGTCCTTTCCAAGTTACTCTGGTTTATTATTATTATGGTTATGACATATGTTTTTTTAAATAAGCATACCTCCCAAGTGTCCCTATATAGGAGGGACAGTCCCTATTTGGGGCCCAAATCCCTCTGTCCCTCTTTTCTATTGTAATATTACTAGTTTTTTTTTTATGAGCTCCATACTGTTGGTGTGTCTGAGTGTATAGCAGAGCTCCACAGCAATAATACTCCCAGTAATATACCTTTAAACTACAATAAATGTGTTTAGAAATCAGTCTGTGTATATATAAGATACATTGTTCTTGCTCTAAATTACATTTTAGTTGCATAATTGTTATTTGTAATATTTCTCACTTTAAACCTGTCCTCGGCCATACCCCCACTCACACCCCTAAAATTAAAGTGTCCCAATTGGGCCATGTGCAGTGTTGGGGGATGTGAATTAGACTGACAGAGTTATTCACTATAGTGTGAACTGTAGTGTCCAGCAGGGTCATAGGGGCTCATGGAATCTCAGCTCCAGGTTCATGCCCATGGAATAAACCCACTGATCATTAAAAAGTAAAAAAAAAAATACATACCAAGAGCAAGCTTCTGCTTGCTTGTAAGATGGACAGATAGACTGAGAGGTATAATACAGAGATTGACATAGGGTAAGAGTAAGTGTATTCTTAAAAATGCATTCTGCAAGCGTCCTTCTTTCCCACCTTCATACATATACACACACACTCATATACACACAGACTTCTATATGTAAACACACTCATATACACAGGGCCGGAGCAAGGATTTTTGCCGCCCTAGGCAAACAAAAATTTGCCGCCCCCCATATGCTCTGCCCACCATGTGACATCACAATACCCCACCCATATGATCTGCCATATGAGCCAACGTCAGTGCTACACACAGTGTCTTTTCTTTGAAAAGGCAATGTGTTTACATTAGAAAGCTTGCAGGGATATTCTATAGACACCAGAAACAAAACATTAAGCTGTACTGGTTCTGGTGACTATAGTGTCCCTTTAACATGCATTGTATGTTTTGATGTGTATGTATGTGAGTAGGGATGCATTGTATGTAGGCATGCATTGTGTGTTTCTGTGTATGTGTAAGGATGTATTGTGTATGTGTGTAGTGTGAAAGAGAGGGTTTGTTTGTGGGGTGTGGTAGAGGCTGAGAGGGGAGCAGCTCTTTATTTTTATTATATTTATTTTGTTAATATCATTTTTTTGTATATTTTTTCTTTAGGTTTTGTGTCTTACATTCTCTTTAGTTTATCTCTCACAAGCCCCTTGTGTGTCTCTTATCCACCACCTCTTTGTATGTCTCCTACATCCTCCAAACCCATTTGTGTCTTACTCTTCCAAGCTCTTTGGTTTGTCTCTTTTCCCCCCAGGCCCCTCTGTGTGTATCTCTCACAATGGACTCTGTGTGTGTCTCTGTCTCCCCTACCAGCCCTTCTGTGCTTCTCTTTCACCCCTTCCTCAGCCTAGTGGTCTCATCTCCACTTCTCCTCCTGTCCCTTAGAGGGTCTCCCCTCCCCTCCTGTCCCTTAGTGTTCTCCCATCCCCTCCTGTCCATAAGTGCTGTCCTATCCCATAGTGATCTCCCCTCCCCACTGGTCCCTTAGTGATATCCGCTGCCCCCCTGTCCCTTATTGCTCTCCTCTGCCCCCTATCCCTTAATGTTCCCCTTGACCCTTAGTGCTCTCCCCTGCCCCCCTACATTCCCATAGTTCCTTCCCTCCACCCTGTCCCTTAGAGTCTCCCCCCTTCCCCCACCTTTCCCTTATTGGTCTCCCCCTCCATCTTTCCCTTTGTGGTCTCATCCCTCCCCATGTTTCCTTTAGTGGTCTCCCCTACTCCCCATCTTTCCTTTAATGGTCTCTCCCCTCCCCATCTTTCCCTTAGTGGTCCGTTCACCCCCCCCCCCAAGTGCCCCTTAATGCCGACTCCCCTCCCTCCCCTGGTGTGCGTCCTACCTCTTTGTAACGTGGTCGGGCGGCGCGGAATTCCCAGTTGAGGTGACAGGAACTTAAACTTTTCCACCTCTTTGATCTAGGCTTAAGTCTGTGTTTGGGCTTCCAATCCTCCCTTCAGTACCGGCCTTATAAAATAATGCACACCACAATTACAGTTGTTGTTGGGTAGCTTAGCTGTGTGTTCATAAGTACCTAAAAGTTAAACACCTTCTCTGGCCACCTTATTTCGGCCACAGGACCAGCTTTGCTTTTGATGTTCAGTGATTTTAATATTTTTTTACTCCAACCCACTTAATGAAAACCCTATAAATTTTAAATGGTTTTGAACGGTTTTGCTCCAAAAAATAATTCCCTGTAGCTTGGCAGTGTAGGCAGCCATCTACTTTGTATCTGTGTGTAAGATGGCTGCCTGCCTTAAACAGATTCTGTCATCACTAAGAATTACGCACTTCACCTTTAATAAATGATACTCGTAACAATGCTTACTGCTATCCGCAATGGTTTATACGCAGCAACGGGAATAAAACTGTCATAAGTGTATTATTGTGACTGGGAGAGCTTCTTGCCAGAATACATGACCTTTCCTTTATTCTGCCTGTCACAAGGATGCAACCATAACCCTCATTACCGCCTTCCAGGAATACAATCTCAACCTGATTTTGTCCTTCCATTCCAAAAACCTTGACCGCGTTCCATCGATCGAGGGCAATGGTGTTATGGACATCAGTCCTTTGGGGGCTTTGACCTTGAGACAACTACGTGTACACAGGATCATATCTCCAGCCTTATTTTAGATTTATCAAGCTTGTATCCCTTGATTACAGCTTCAGATTCTCTCGCTATAACAATCTAGTACACAGGAAAGAATTTAGGGTTTTATTGTCCCATATCTCCGTATTTCCCACCTATAGATGACTTTGCAGGCCCGGAGAGGGGAAACTAGTAAAAGCATAGATATTTCTGCAGTAATACAAAATACAGTTAAGAGAATGGCACCAATTAAATGGGACCAACGAACCCTTTCAATACTGAGGTTTCCTTAAATAAAATAGGTCAGTTTTGGTATTTTTTTTTTTTACTTAGTACAAACTGCAGATCACACATGATCTTTGTTTCACCAGTTGGGCAGGGAATTTAAGAGGCAAGTGAAGTACTTCTTTTAATTTTTGAGAATTCGTAAGGATATAAGTAACATTCCACAGTAGAAAGAAAACCTACACTACTTGGATTAAAAGGTAGACCCCCCACCAACATTCACAGGACTGGATTTTGTCATGCATTGAGTGGGTTAAGTAGACTGTCAAGTCTTGAGTCCATGGAGCAGAGACTTGTAACTTATTACTGTGCTGGACCTGTTTGGCATCTGAGCGTTAATTAACGCTGAATTCCACCAGA